CACTTCCAACAACGCGCGCTGGGACTGTCGTGACGGGTTGAACACGCCACCGTTGAAGATACTACGCACTGCTTCTGCAACAACGAGGAGAAAGTAATTCTGAATTAATTGTTTGAATTATTGTTGTTGGCGTCCGCAGAATTCTGAGAATATCGAAGGAAAGATTTTGGTCAACAATACAGTTCTACGGATGAATCAGCATTCCCAATACAAAACATCCGCCCGCGACACGAAAAAGGAGAATCGCGCGAACAAAGCCATCTATCAAATAGAGCATCTCCCTGTTGAAGTCAACTGTCAGTGAGGGGTCCATACCTCCAAATACAGTTGAAGGAGGAGTTTTTTGTTTAGATACTAATAAGACTTCCAATAAAATCCTAATATTAAAAAGAATGTAAAGAAGACTCCGTTTGTTCAAAAGAGGGGAATAATTCTGCTGCAGACATTATACCAACGGCTATGGAGGTGGACAATGATTGAAATAGTGTGTCACAATCTTCTTCGTAAAGAGACCGATTCTCTCCAGACGACAGACCCTGATCCCAAAAGTACTCAACATCTGAGAACTAGGACCCTGAAGACCGAATCGTTCGAAGCAGGACACAGGTTGCACGTACACGAGAAAAACTGTGCGACGTAACTCAGCAAACTGCTTCGACAAGAAGAACGACAGTTATGCAGAAGTAGAGTCGAGTAGTTAATACCGCAGGCCATTTTCTGTTGAACAGAAGTGAATGATGCAAACTGAGGCTTGGATTTCGTGGGGTTCGCTCGTAAGAAGCTTCAAGAGGAAAATAAGACTGCGAACCAACAAAGATTGAGAGAAGCATCATCTAGTGTCTTGCCACTGCTTCCACGTATGTCAGTGGAATTGCTATAAAACCTTTCACAACCCGAACTAAACCTGATTCACAGTTCCGCAGCTGAGCTTCTAGTTGTCTATCTTGAATTGGCAGGGGAACAGCAAGTGGTTTTAGAAACTCGTGTCCGATGAAGACAACCCTCCAGACAGACACGCATTTGCAGACGTGATGCAGCAATTGCAAAATCTCGTGCCATCTCGAGAGAGCAGTTCTAGCACTCTGATCGCCAACACGGCTATAATTGTTAGTTGACTCGTGTGACGCATCCCAGTCATTCAGATGTGAGGTCGTCAGTGATCTAATTGGAGAGGACAAGTCCGATGACGTTAATAAAAGAAGAATAAGCAAACAGAAATACGTAAGCTTCAGCCTAACTTAGAACGAAAAATGAGGACAAAATGAAGACTAAAACAATACTCTACTTTGATTCATCACTCTTTTTTGCGGGCAGTTCTTCATTTTCTGAACTCTTCTTCTCTTCAATCGGCGCTTTTAAGAGCAAACACCCATTGGGCGGGAGGTCGAGCCAAAGACAATAGGGCCATCCAAGTCTGCAACAACAACGCTCGAGAAGGAGAGACTCGAAGCAACATACCTTCCGCCCTGGGTTGGTTGTACCGTCACCCCGGCGCCAGGCCCAACCATTCCTCCTCCGTAACGCCAATCATCAGAATTCAGCAACACCGTCCAAACGCCGCCATGAGGAACGCCGATGGGATAACTATCACAAGAGGATAAAGTTATGACAAAGGAGCCTCAGAGTGGCTGAGGCGATGCATCTGTTAAACAATGCGGAGACTAAGGGATGCTTACTGTGAATATTTGACTCCAGAAAAACTTAACCCAAAACCAGAACATCATTGGTCCAATTCCCAAATTTTCGGATCCATGCAACAATATTGTCTTGTGCGTTGTCACAATCGACCCATTGAAAATTCCATGGTTCATCATCGCCTGCAGTTTCGTCAGAATCTTCAGTTAAGACTTTTATGTTCTTACCCGCATGCAGCGCAACTTCTTCTCTATAACGCTTTAAAGAGATCGCACACCCATTGCATCACATTTTTTCTTGAAGGTTCTGATGCTTCGTGCCAATCTAGCGAACGGGCCTCTTTCCATTCCCGTCCTTGGCCAAATTCACCCCCCATAAAAATAAGAGGCCGGCCAGGCATCCCAACTTGAAACCCATACAGCGCTCGCAACGACCGCAATCTGTGGAGAAAACATGTTGTGGCTTTTGGATCTCGACGACTCTTCTATGATGTCTCTCTCTTCTACCGATGATTACCTCTCATCAAATGGAGTCCCCATGAATCCGCATTTATCCAACAAACTTCCTTTTCCACTAACTACTTCATCGTGCGATAGTGGCAGGACCCATTTCTCATTTCCCATATACAAGCCTCTAAAAGTCAATTTCGAATGCTTTGTCCACCGATCCATAGCTGGCATCGTCAAGTAGCTCAACGTATCGTTCATCCATCCCAAATCCCACTTTGCATCAAACCCAAGACCTGCACAAGTGAAGTGCATTGGCAAGCCCATCAGCCACTGGTGAGGCCACAAGAAGACCGTTTAAACTGACCCTTCTCCTTGTCTGTCACGCCAGGCCACGCAGTCGACTCTTCAGCCATCGTGAAAACGCCGGGAAACTCTCTGTGAACGACCCAATTCAACTCCTGCAGAAGACTTATTGCTTGCAAATTCGTCTCCCCACCGAACTCATTCGGAATCCAATCACCCTGAAAACACAAATCATACGGCGTGCGGTGCCTCAAGAACACTTAGGTCGTTGCGCCGGAACACTTAGGTCGTTGCGCGGAACACTTACGGCTTCTCTACAGTGATTCTTATAGATCATTGAAGATACGGCATCAACCCGCAATCCATCAATGTGGTACCGTCGAAGCCAGTGATAAGCAGCGCCCCAACAAGAAAGACCGGACTTCATGACGTCGAAAGTTATACATCATCGTTCCCCATCCTTTGTGTTCTCCCTCCCGTGGATCTGAATACTCATAACACGGCTCGCCATCAAGTGCACGAGTCCCCAAGAATCCTAAGCAACACACATACGCGTCGTCATCCAGACAAAACCAAAGCTTCCTACCTTGACGAAATGCGCCGGAACGAAATCGAGAAATACGCCAATGTCGTTTCGATGGAGTTCATTGATCAAAACTTGAGATCGTCACCTGATCCCAAGCGGCTATAAGGCGCGTATTGTCCGGAAACCTGGTAACCCCACGAGCCTTCAACGGGATGATGCGCTAGGGGTAAGCACTCAACATGCGTAAAATTCAGCTTCGTGACGACATGATCGACAAGACGATGGGCTAATTCTCGGTATCCAAGATAAGAATTTCCATCTCCGCGTATCCAAGAAGGGAGATGGACTTCGTAGATGGACATTGGAAGTCGACTAATCTGGCCGTTTTTTGCGGTTTTGGCACGTTTTTCCATCCATGCTTGGTCGGTCCATTGGAACCTTTTACTAAGAGGTTTGTATGCGTCGTCGCAGTCGGAGATAATCGATGCTGTCGAGGGAGGATTTTGGAAGAGTTGGGCGTAGGGATCGATCTTGATGAAATCTGCTCCCGATTTTGAATGAAAACGATATCCATAATTCTGGCCTGCACCGATATTTGGAACAAAGAGCTCCCATACGCCAAACTCAAGTCGTCGACGCATGGGATGTGCGCGACCATCCCATTGATTCCAATCACCCACGACGGACACAAAAATAGCATTTGGAGCCCAAACTGTGAAACGCACGCCGGATACGCGATTGATTTCCATGATATGGGATCCCATTAGATTATCGACATGCCAACAAGAACCCGCTTGGAAGGATTTGAGATCGTATTCCGGAGCGAGAAGTCCAAAGTTGTAGGCGTCGCGGATTTCGTACACATTCGATGAAGGATCACCCTCGTATTTCAATTGAACGTCATAGAAAAACGGCGTGCTCATCAACAATGTGTTAACAGAGGAACTTGTCTCATCCGCGATTTGCTTGCGCCCCGCTGGCGTTAACCGAACACGAAAAGCTCTTTCATGGAGCCATTCGCAGCGCTTGATTGCCGGAACCCACTCGTGCACTTCGGATGCAAATTTGAAGTAATGTTTGGAAATTGGACGGATTGAGACGTCAAGGGAGTCTTTTTTCCACACGCTACAGGAGGGACAAAGCCTTCACATGAACCGTTCATCTGGAACTTACCGAACCACAATTGCTTTGATTTCCTCATCAGCATAATCAAAAAAATGTGGTCCCAAAATGCTGAACGGAGCCGCGTGTCGATTATCGTGGAGGCGGTAAGTATCGTGATCAAGGAGACTCGCGTTCTTTGGGACTTCCGGCAGAGGAACTAGTTCAAACCAGGGAGCATCAATGTCATCAAGTGGAGGTGGAAGGACCGCGACGTCGTCAAAATTGGTCCCTGCAAGACCATCATCAACACTCTCTGACTCGTTTGGAACAGAAACTTTCTCCTCTGCAAACGACGAACAAACCCGTTCGCGTGTGTAGATGCCTTTTGGTTTGAAGGCTTCGGCTACGGATGCGGCTTCAGCAGGAGCTGGACTGCTGGCTGTCGATCCTGTTGAGGTTGCCATTCAGGGGGGGCCGCGAAAAAGAACGAAAATTCTGGCAAGTGAAGAGAGAAAAATTATGCAGACTCAATAACAGGTGTGCGAGGTTGTGCAGTCCCGCAGGAGCTACGCTGCGATAATTTTGAAAAACCAGAACTTTGTGAAAAAACAGAAAAATTAGACAAATTAATTGAAAGTGATAATTGCTTTTAGGCGAGCAGTAATTTGTCACTTCAAAGCCTAATTACCAAGCAATTAGGTTTCGAGAATTATCAATCCCTATCTCTGGAATGGAGACGCTGGCGATAGAGCGAGGGCTCCTTCACTCAGTGAGCGAGAAGAACTTCCATTGACTCAGTGAGAGAGAAAGAACTCCGATGAGTGATGGAGGATTTCAATCGATGGGGAGTGAATCCGTCCTCTCTAATGCTTATAGGAGAATTTCCACCAAACAAGCAAGCATAATAAATCTCATGAACGCTAAGACACCTCAAGAACTTTCACCAAGACGTCATTTCATGTCTGGATTCTTGACCTGCACCAAGATTTCTGACCTAGCGACGGAGTCATCCCAAAAGTTTTTTCAACGTAACAATTTTCGATCAACGTTCAATGACAAAAAATCACGACTTCTCATATCGATAGACAAGAAAGGTAGATCAGATGCTAACACTGTAGAAGCTTGATTGGTGTTCTCTTTAGGCAAAGGCGAATTAAACCTTCCTTTAATGGACGAAATAAAAGCGACTGAAGTGTACCGTTTGTTGGCCGCAGTAAATACTAGTGGAAATCGAGCAAAAGCACACGAACAAAGTCATCACTACTTTGCGGTTGAACTCTACCGCTTCTGCATGAGATATCTACTCCTTGCACGGGAGAGTTGGGGGAAGAGTGTCGGAAATGACTCTTCTTGCGGAACGATGGTCTTCACGCATATCAGTAGTTGTTCGATGCGAACACCTTGAATCGCAGCCCACTGAACATTGAATACTCTCGCCTCTCAACGACAACGGCTAGCGTGCTCTACTCAACGGAATACCGACGCCCACAAGGCGCGGAGTCGAATTATACATCAGTTGCAGAAACGTCTCAGATAATAGGAATCAAGCATGTTGTCAATCCCAGATAGGACATTTTGGAGAATTTTCTCGGATAGGAATTCATTGAGAACACATTCATTAAATCGGTCAAGCGATGAATGCGTGTCTTAATTAAATCGGTTAGTCCAAGCGATGAATGCGTGTCTTAATTAAATCGGTTAGTCCAAGCGATGAATGCGTGTCTTAATTAAATCGGTTAGTCCAAGCGATGAATGCGTGTCTTAATTAAATCGGTTAGTCCAAGCGATGAATGCGTGTCTTAATTAAATCGGTTAGTCCAAGCGATGAATGCGTGTCTTAATTAAATCGGTTAGTCCAAGCGATGAATGCGTGTCTTAATTAAATCGGTTAGTCCAAGCGATCCAAGCGATGAATGCGTGTCTTATCTGAGATGTGACTCCATTGAGAATTTGCCGATTCACTCACTAGAATGACTAATTTCTGTTGGTGACAAACATCGTGTCCCAATTCCCATTATTTTGTCATCCTTCAATCAAATTGGATGGACGATGTTGTAAGCCTTATGAGTGATATTGCTAGACCTCCTCTTTATTCCCTGCATCAACAATTTACACCACTGAGTGAGATCCATCAACAATTTACACCACTGAGTGAGATCCATCAACAATTTACACCACTGAGTGAGATCCATCAACAATTTACACCACTGAGTGAGATCCATCAACAATTTACACCACTGAGTGAGATCCATCAACAATTTACACCACTGAGTGAGATCCATCAATTTACACTAAGTGAGATCTGTTAACAGGCAATTGGTATACATTTTTCCTAATTGAAAACATTGCAGACCAAAACTGAACTTATTTTGTCATTAACCTTATCAGGATCAATACACTGAGATCTATCAACAATTTACACTGAGTGAGAAGATCCATCAATTATACTGAATGAAATTAGTCAACAATTCAAGATCAATCAACAATCTGCACCAAGCGAGCAATCGACAAACAATCCTTCGTATCTAACTGTCGAACCTTTTACACTTCACCAGTCCAACCATTACCGTCCAACCTGTGACGAGTTCGAAAGTGGGGGAGTTTGATGTTCAGATTAAAAATAGAAAAGTGTACGGACAACTAGTTAATAAAACGTGAAGTTAGGGTCAACTCTAACATGCCCCTGTGAGGCAAACTTCACGGATCTGACGGACAGATAGAAAGCGCCGATCGAAGAATTTCAAATTGTTGACGGGGAAGCGCTTTTGTCAAGATGTCGGCGATATTATTCTCTGTTGAGACTTTTTCCCAGTCGGGAGAAGTCGGTGGGGTTGTTTGCAGCGCGCAAGGCGGATTGCGCATCACCTCTGAGGGTGAAACACGTTTTTGCTGGAAGCAGCCACAGCTGTTCTAAAATTTGTACAATCCATCTGCCTTCGCGGCGACATATTCAGCTTCAGCCGATGAAAGGGCTACTTCTGTTTTGAAAATTTCCGCGAGATGCATCCACCCCATAAAAAGAAGCAGTAGCCCGACGTTGAGACTTGCAAGCAGTCTTTTTGCGGATCGCCCAGTGAAGCATCACAATATCCAACAGGAGCTGAGAGTGGAGTTGCTGACTCTGATGAATAAAGAATACCATGATGGATGGTGGATTTCAAATATTTGAGAATGTGTATTGCTGTATTCCAATGTGACGAGTTGAAGACGTTGCAGAACTGCGCCATTCGTATAGTGGAATAGCCAATGTCTGGTCGCGAACAGTTGTAAAGGAAAATGAGGGAACCGATGAGTGAGCGATATGGCTGATCTGTTGCGGAGGCTGAGGAGTCGACTAGAGCTCCTGGTGACATTGGGATAGCGGCAGGATTTACATCCTGGAAACCGAATTTGAAAAGCATTCGATTGATGTATGAACCTTGAGATAGATGCAACTTTCCTAGATTTCTGTCGTAGGAGATGTCAAGGCCGATGAAACGTTTGGCGGGGTCCGAGATTGGTGATGTTGAAACGGTCCGACAGTGCTGTGGCAAACTCCGTGATTAGTGTCAAAATTTCAGTTAGAAAAACGCTCTGAAGAACTCTCTGAGAGCGGATGGATAAGCCAGAGATTTTGCGAAAGCTTCCATAGTAGGATTAGAAATTCTTGCAAATCTGATCGGCAACATGAGCGACAGTTAGCCTGTGCTACGCGTACCAATCTACGAGAATAGTAGTTTGAAATAGGGATTCCCGGCTAATTGCATCATGTATTTCACGATTTGTGATGTATGTCGGCCAAGGGCCTTTTTTGCCTTGTTGTCGTGGTTAGAGGGACGACCTTGATTGCAACACCATTCATCACCAGGACATTATGGCATGAACGCTTGATCTGACATGTGCGCGGCTTTGCAGGTCTATCTCTGAGATAAGTATCCCGAAAGCTCTTATCCAAGCTCCTCCTGCTGGTCACCTCCTCGGTGTCTTCTGTGCGCATCATTTACCTGATCACATTCCCATGGAAAAAACAGAAAGAATAAAAAAAGGAATTCCTTTTTTGCTTCAAAGACCAGGGGAGTGTGAGAACTTGGAACAAAAAGAATCCAAATTCAAATAGACAAATTCTTTATTGTTTGGAAGAAACATGATATTCGTCAAGTCAGCCCGAAGTGGCACCTTCCAACGACAACTCTTTATGATACAAAGCATCAATGAAAGCAGTCATGAGACAGACGTGAGAGAAGTGCAAATTAATGGTAAGGGATTATGGACGCCACGATCATCCATAGTATTAAATGTGGCGCTTAGTGACACGCCAGTCTGCCGCGATCTCCACCTCGTTTGAAGAAAGAGGCTCGTGAATTCAAATGTCCAACCGACCTTTCATTCCCCATTATACAAAATCGTGGAGCTAATAGCGCGATCCCGTCAATCCACACACAAGCATGATACATTTGACGACAAATCGTTCATGCAAGTCATATGCTCAGGAGAAACAGCCACAAGTATGCAGTCTTCTGGTTCTGAGCTTTATCTCTCCATGTTTGATATTGAGAGTCGCTTGTCGTGAGGATGGCAGAGAGTGAGAAAACTAGTCTCAGTTATTGAACCTCGTCCCAACGCAGATTCGAACACAGGCAACGCTCCATATCACCGCTAAGCCGCTCGTTAACAATGTTAACTCAAACTGTTAAATAGTTAGAGTTGACAAAGAGGTCCAACGTCGATCTTATGCTTGAGTGGATTCCTAATCCAAACTCTTATTAGGATTTCTGATATCGACGGACGAATCTACCATAAATCATATAAGGATGCAACTTTACAGTCTAACGCTTCAGAAGCCAACCGCAGCGACGCATGCCATTCAGGGCAACTTCTCTGGGCCGAGAGTCCATGAAGTTGTTTTGGCTCGAGGCCGGGTGTTGGAACTTGTTCGACTTGAAGACCGTAAATTGAGATCAATCTGGAGTTCAGATGTTTTTGGGATAATCCGATCAATCACAACATTTCGACTGACAGGAAGTCCCAAAGACTATCTTGTTGTTGGGTCTGACAGCGGACGGATCGTCGTATTAGAGTTCAACTCAACCAAGAATTGTTTCGACAAAGTCCACCAGGAGACCTTCGGAAAGTCCGGCGTGAGACGAGTCGTTCCGGGCCAATATCTAGCTGCGGACCCTAAAGGGCGTGCTGTGATGATTGGAGCGATTGAAAGATCTAAATTTGTTTATGTTCTTAACCGCGACGCGTCTAGTAATTTGACGATTAGGTAATTGCTTTGATTGGAAGATTTGATTGATTGGAAGATATGATTCAAATGATCAACTTGCGATTGTTGCATCATTTTATCACAATCATCATTTATCACAATCATCATTTCTCTCTTTTTTCAGTTCTCCATTAGAAGCGCACAAATCACATCAAATTTGTTTTGGAATTACCGGAATCGACGTCGGATTTGAAAATCCTGTTTTTGCTTCTATTGAGCAAAATTATGAAGCGGCAGATAAACCGTCCAAGGCGACGGACGGGGAATTCGAAAGACCGCCTAAGGGAGTTTCATTTTGGGAAATGGATTTGGGACTCAACCATGTGATCAAGAAAGTGGGTGTCGCTCTTCGTTCTGTTGCCAGACTTCTCATTTTCTAGTGCACGCTGCCATGCGACGACTCAGCGCATCTTTTGATTCCCGTTCCGGGCGGATCTGGACAAGATCCCGGACCAAGTGGCGTTCTTGTCTGTTGTGAAAACTTTGTCGTCTACAAAAGGCCAGGTATTCCTTATCCATCTTTCGTCTGACGATGCAAGATTTTCCAGATCATCCCGACGTGGCTTGTGCAATTCCTCGACGTCTAGAAATGGCTCAAGATGCCAAGATGGTTGTCTCTTGCTTCGCCATGCACAAGTTACGCAATTTTTTCTTCTTCCTAATTCAAACAGACTACGGGGATCTCTACAAAGTGAGTCTTCGCTCTTATTCGTGCCTCCTCATAATATTGTTTCAGATTGAACTGACTCACGAAGAACAGGGAGAAAGGAGAGTTGTTGTTGAGGTCGTCGTTCGCTACTTGGATTCAATTCCTGTTGCGAACGCCATGTGTGTTCTCCGATCTGGCTATTTATTTGTAGCCGCTGAATTTGGGAATCAGTGAGTGTCCTTCGTGGGATCCCACATGTTGCCAATTCCGTCTCCTCAGTCTGTTGTATCAATTCACTGGCATTGGTGGAGATCCAACTGATCCACTTTGTACATCCAACCATCCAAGTGGCGCTGATTGCACAGTTGCTTTTAAATTGAGGTCCTTAAAAAATTTAACTCTCGTCGAACAAATGAACAGTTTAAGTCCAATTACAGACATGAAAGTGAGAGCATCAACCCATTTTGTTATTCGATTTGATTTTTCAGATTTTGGACGCGCTTGGCGAAGGCCATCCGCAGATTTTCGCTGCCTGTGGACGGGGACCTCGTTCGTCTCTCCGCGTCATTCAGCACGGATTGTCCGTCGAGGAACTTGCAGACAATGAGCTTCCCGGGACTCCCTTGGCTGTTTGGACTTTGAAGGAAACGAACGAGTCGTTGCATGATGGATTCATCATTGTCACATTCCCAGATACCACGTTGATTTTGTCAATTGGTGAAAATGTTGCTGAAGTCTCTGATACAAACTTTCTGCAAAATGTTTCCTCTCTTCAAGTTGCACTGATGATCGATGATTCCCACATTCAGGTGGGACGGTCGTATGGAGTACGCTTTGTCTTTATCCTCCGTTTGTCTTTTAGGTTCATGAAAACGGGATCAGGCATTTACAAACAGGAAAAAGAGTGAACGAGTGGAGAACGTCGCAAGGACGTCGAATCATCGCTGCGACGTCAAACGCTAGACAGGTAAGAAACAAGTTGAACCGGTTGCTGGGGACGGACTGCTCTTCTTCAAAGCGGTCTCTAGTTTGATTTTATTAAAGTGGTATCCTTTTGTAGATCTGCATTGCAATGACGGGAGGGGAAGTTGTTTCATTTGAGATCGATGAGTCACACACATTAACCGAAATGAGTCGCAAAACAGTCGATTATGAGATCACAGCGCTTTCTGTTCAACCGACTCCAACGGGAAGAACACGAGCGTCCTTTTTGGTAAGCGTGGTGTGGATCAGACGATGATAAATCATTGTAACAGGCAATTACTGGTTTGGACAACACTGTAAGAATCTTTGATCTCGATCCTGAAGCTGAACTGAGACAACTTGCACTGATGGGAGTCCCAAATGACGCCCATGCCGGAAGTGTTTGTTTGTGGCAGTTTGAGACGAAGGTAGGTGAACCAGCTGGCTTGCGGAAGCAGCACTGTATTCTGCCGCATGGTTGTCAAATTTCTGTTCCCCCAGGATTCTTCAGGTGTTGCTGTATCGCAGTTGTATCTATATGTTGGATTGGAAACTGGTGTTCTTCTACGTGCAACAGTGGATCGTGTAACTGGCGAGCTAACAGATCAAAGAACTCGATTTTTAGGGCCGTCCCCAATCCAGTTGCATCGAGTGAACTTGGGAAAGCTTTCCGGTTCAGGCGCTTCAACAGCAATGATTGCGCTCTCTACACGTCCCTGGTTGTGCCATTATTCAAGCCAAGTGAGTTCTCCCTCGTAGCGTCCTTCTCATCTAATCCTTCCTGCCAGAATCGTGTACAATGCGCCCCGCTTCATTATGGGAAGTTGGAATTTGTATCCTCATTCTCTTCTGAACAGGTAATCTTCATCAGCCTAAAACACGAATGAGTAAATGCACAAAAATATCCCTGCATGTTTGGTAATAAGGATGTCTATTGATTTGAATGCACTCAAATTTTCCCTTCTCATCGTTTTCAGTGTCCCGATGGCTTTGTTGCGGTGTCTGGTCGCGATTTAAGAATTTTTCAATGCAGTGCCATATCGGGTGCTTTCTCGCAAACTACTATCCCCCTCAGTTATACTCCCAGGAAGCTTTGCGTTCTTCCACCACCGTCCCAAGCAATGGACGGAATGTTAGCAGCAAGTCAGTAGAGTCGACTTCGGCTCTGAGTCATTGTTCGCTTCCCTCCAGGTCTGGGACCCCCAGAAAGCCCTATTCCTCCCAATCAAGCAGTATTAGCGGTGGTCGAAGCGGACCATGGTGTTTACGATGAAGCAACAAGGAAAGAGATCGCGTCTGCATTAAAACGAATCGATATGACCGAAGCGGACGAAGCGAAAGATGAATCGGATGACATGGAAATTAAAGTATGAATTGAAATTCCATGAAGTGAAGTTCTGTGTGTGACAATGCGTGTTTGGAATTGCAGGAAGATGCTAAGGAGACGGATGAGGGCGGTGAAGCGGAAGCTGATATTCCAGAGGAGCAAGTTGGGACATTCCGTGCGGGTCCTGGGAAATGGGGATCCTGCGTCCGGGTGGTTCACCCACTTACAGTGAGTTGTCCACACTGTTATTTTCCTTGAAGATCTATATCTGTTTTCAGTCGAAAACGATTTGTAAATATTCATTGGATGTGGATGAAGCGGCCTTCTGCTCTGTTGCATGTCGGTTTTGGGAATTCGATTCTCCGTGTTTGGTCGTTGGAACAGCCTATAACATGACACTCAGACCAAGGAATTGTCCCAAGGCAAGCATCAAAGTCTTCGCTTATAATTCGGACTACAAGCTCCATTTGATCCACTCGGTACGTTTCTGTCCGGAATTGATAGACAAAGTGACAGAGCAGTCATACATTATGGATCTTCTCGTCTTAGACTCCAGTTGAATCCGCTCCTCTTGCTCTATGCGCTTGGGATGGAAGATTGATTGTATCTCTCGGCAAAAAAATACGAATCTATTCGCTGGGAAGAAGACGGTTACTGAAAAAATGCGAATTCAGAGTAAGACGAAGTCATATTTCCGAAGTTTTGAATAGAATGCGGTTTTGAATGAGTTGTTGTTTCTAATAGGCGATTCCTGAAGCAGTCATATGGCTCCGTGTTGTGAAAGATCGTATCTTTGCGGGGGACGTGCGCGAAGGGTTCATGGTGCTGAAATATCGCTCATCCGAGAATGCGTTGCACGGTAGGATACTGTGTATTATGAGATGGATACTCTCCGATCAGCATCACTCGTATTATCTTTATATCTTTCTATTGATATCAGAGGTCTTTCTATTGTCTTTATATGTTTCTGTTGATATCTGAGGTCTTTCTATCATCTTTATATCTGTTTATTGTTGTAGTGATATCTGAGGAGTCCCGACCTCATTGGCTTACGTGTGGGGAAGTTCTCGATTATCATACAGTTGTTGGAGGTGATAAGTTTGATTCTCTGGTGGTTGCGCGAGTGAGTGATTCAAGTTGAATGGGTGATTCATGAGTGGATCGCAGGTTTCTGACTCTGTTAAAGAAATTGATGCTGGAGGGTTGGGGGGATATACCACATTGAGGCTGAGGGGGGACACTCCGTACCTGACCACTGAGTGTCCAAAGGTCAGTCGAAACCTCATTGGCGTCCATACTGATTCGCTATTTCAGTTTGAATATGTCTCCAATTTCCATGTCGGCGAGACTCTAACAGCTTTACAAAAAGCAACGTTAACTCCGGGTGGTGCTGAGGCGGTGGTTTACTCCACAGTCTTAGGCTCCATTGGAGCATTCCTCCCTCTGCTGACCAAAGACGAGGTTCGCTCGGTTGTTTGTGTGGTTGTAACTCTGCTTTTGCCAGACGGATCTTCTTCAGCATCTAGAGATGTCTATGCGATCTGCCCTGCCGCCTTTATGCGGTCGTGAGCATGTGACATTTCGGTCATATTACACCCCGTGCAAGGTGCGATTTTGTAGTCATGTCATTTTTATTCTTGGTCTCTTGGCAGAGCGTGATTGATGGAGACCTATGCGAACAATTTCAAAATCTCCCTCCACAGCAACAAAAATCGGTAGCACAGGAAGTATCAAGAACTCCATTAGAAATTATGAAGAAGCTTGAAGAATTAAGGAACCGTCTTCTGTAACGTCGTGATGTTCAATTTGATCGTCCTTTCTTCTTTAACGTAGCAGGAGGTGATATGCGGTTAATTCTGTTTTGTTGACCCGACTGTCTTCGATCCCTGTTCTTCTGATGAAAGGTCATAAATGCCTTTCAGAGATTATGCACATCACCCAAGCGACACAGGCAGCTAGAAACAGGACAATCTGTTGACACCTGGACCAGAACTTCGCAAATGGCCAGCGGGTGCGTCCGCTTGGTTGACTGCAAGCCTCCTTCCGTGACAGATGGCTCCTTCACACTAGGGGAAGAAAGTGGACAGCGTTCCTATTGCTGTCAATGGATCCAGAAGGCATCCATCTTGCTGCGCGTTCCTGCCGAGACTTCCGCGAGCGCCCAGACGATTTTTCACCGATTCTACTTCAGACGGTCGATGAAGGAGTTTGATGTGAAGGTGAGCCGCGATTGAATCAATTGCGCGTCCTTATAGCTCTTGAGACTTTTGACAATCGCGTATTTTCACTCGCAGCTTGTCGCGGCTGGAGCGGTTTATCTTGGATGCAAACTCAGTGAAACTCCACGAAGAATTCGCGATGTGGTTTATGTGTTCCTTTTTCTTGATTGGGTTGAGAAAAAGGATCATTGCGTGGAAACACTTAGAAAAAAGGAAATGAGCGCAAGTCCAACAGCTGATGCAGAAAATAGAAACGAGAATGTTCCTTCTCGTCAACTTGATCAGTTATCAGCGATACTTAACAGCTTAGAAAGCGAACTTGAACTCCCTGATGTGAATTCCAAGGTAACGACTCATTGACCGATGAATGTTTGGAGTGAAAACGTCAACGGTTCACTGTTTGTATTCTTAATCTTTTGACACCTTCAGGAATTCAAGCACCTCAAAACAAACATCCACCGGGTGGAGCGTCATATTTTGCGCGAAACGGGATTTATGATTTCTCAAACATTGGTGCATCCCCACCGCTATATTCTTCAATTTATTCACGTTTTGTTTGGAGACAACGTTTTAACCGTCAAAGGAACACAAATCAAAGATTTGCCAAAGAGCCTGGGGATATTTGAACGATAGGTGGGATTGTTGATTTGTCGAAACTTACTGTTGTTTCTCTGCAGCTTGCGGACGTCCTTGTGCTGTTCAGTTCAGCCCTCATCTATTGCAGCGGCAGCGATAGCAATGGCTTGTAGAGATTATGGAATCCAGCTTCCAACAGTCGCACTAGAAACCATCTCTGAGAATGGGAAAATCAGTGACGTGGTATGTGACGATGGTGACATACTTGGACATCAATCGTATTGATTCTGCAGGATGTTGAGTGGTATAAAGGATTTCAAGTGGAAAAAGAAGAACTGACACGCATCATGAACTCTATACAACAACTTTATACCGTAGAGGAACAACCCACGTACAAGAAAATTGCGGATCCGCCGATTCCTCCAGCGCAACAGAAAGGTGGGTACACTTCTATGGTATCCCGTGAACACTTTAACCATCATTCACAAGATGGCTGCTGACGTGCTCAAAATGGCGGCTAACTATGACTTCTCTCTTTCTCAGCCTCTACTGCGACCGAGGAAGATTGTCCCCAAGATGAAAGTGTGACGATTCAAGTTGAGGAAACAAAAGATGTGGAAATGTGAAGAATTCTTCTTTCTGTCGTGACTGTTTCCCTCCTGTGCCTCAATGTCCGAAAATCTCATCAAATTTTACCTCAAATCTGTTTTCGCTCCAAGTATATGATTCCTTTGGGACGGCAAGCTTCAGCTCGAAGTGCTTGGAAACCGATTTTTAACACCAATCAATTGTATTCCCTGCCATCTTTCGCACGACCATATTCTAGTGACACTCATAGTCCATATAAGCGGTATGGCACGACAATATTGTGTATCCGAAGAGGGGATAAAGTGGTAGGAAAACATGAACATAAATGACAAACTTGGTGAGATTTGTAGGTGCTAGCGGGAGACGGGCAGGTGACCCAAAACCACATGATTATGAAACCAAATGCCAAGAAGTTGAGGGTCATGAGAGAAGGTAAGCTTTAGAGCTGAGTGATACGCTTCTGATCATGTGTTTATAGGGAAGGTCATTACTGGATTTGCCGGTGAGTAGCAGTGTCCCACGTGTCCCAAGAAAAAGAATGGCTCAGGCACGACCGCGGACGCATTCACGCTCTTGGAGCGTCTGGAAGGGAAGCTTGACGAGCACCCCGGACAGCTTCTACGTGCCTGCGTGGAGTTGGCGAAAATGTGGCGTACTGATCGTTATTTGAAAAATTTAGAGGTACTGATTTGGTGGCTGAGTGGAATGATCTAGAGCTTGTCCAGGCGGTTATGGTTGTGGCGGATGAGACCCTTTCGTTAGAAGTAACAGGCAATGGAGACGTTTTAGAGAGCCATGACGGAATTATAGGAGTGGGTAGTGGAAGCGCTTATGCAGTTGGTGGGTCAAGTTGAAGCAACGATTGAGCATCTATCTCGTTCAGCTGCTGCGCGGGCATTGTATCAAAATACAGAGATGAGTGCAAGGGCTATTGCTGAGAAAGCCATGAATATAGCAGGAGGTGCGTGGATCCCCCATTCCAATTTATACTCTTTTTCTGCAGATCTTTGCATCTACACAAACCACAACATCATCTTCGAAGAACTCCCTTCGAACGTGAAGCCCGTTCCGAGTGTTGCACAAAAGGCTGCTGAGCAATCATAACAGATTTTTATTTTTGTGGCCCTTTTGATTCGAGCTTTGTATTCAGAACTGTACCCAGGTATCAATACCTGCCGAAACACATATGGCTTCACAAACGTCAGACAAGCTGCAACAGCCCAGCGCTTGCTATGATGAAGGCGATACCCCACAGAGACACATCAACGCAATCCGCCACAAGTTGTTTGGAATTGGAAGCCAAAGAAGCAAAAATTTGGTCCATGCAGAAAATTCAAATCAGGCGATTGCGAAACTTGCCATGGTTGCGCATGCTTCACCGTTTCATTTCATTTGCGAACTCATGCAGGTAAGTCGAAAGTGAGTTTGTATTAACAAGCTATTTATGTTTGTCAGAATGTTTCCGACGCACAGTCTCGTCTCGTGCGCACGAATGAGAAAACCGAGCTCGCTCTTGTTTTGAGTCGCAACGATCCTTTTAATGAAGAGGAACAAACAAAACCGAAGAAAAAAAGAACTTCTGAAAATCGTGCAACTGGGGGAGTGTTGTTGCTTGTGCGTCTCGGATTGCTTCAGTTTTGGTGATTTGTTGGTCTCTTTCAGTCGTACAACGAACCAGGGTGGACGAATCGAGATGTGGAGGCGATCGTGAAAGCCCGCGAGTCGACGAAATCGGATAAGGATTGCGAGTTTATTGGCGAGAAAGGTCAAGGATTTTACTCCGTCTTTCGAATTGCCACACACGCGTTTATTCTCTCCGGTCAAACACACAAATACGATGCCTCACGTCGAATGCTTGTGGAGAAGTCAACGCGGTCGCTGGGACGAGTGAAAGAGAGTCGTTATCCGGTCGGTGGGTATTTCTTCAAATTGGAGCGTGAGGCATGTGAGGAATGTGGCTTCAAGTAAGGCTGCGCTTTCCATGTCTTGGCTAGTAAGATTGACCTGGGCCCCTGAGACCAGAACTTCTGTTTGATAACAGATATGTTGTTCCACAATGGGTTGAACCGAAGAGTCTTCCAACTCAAGTGTCTCATTACGCTTGTGGAAAAAGCGTTTTGTGCTTGCG